CTTAATTTATATTTGGAGAAAACTTATCCTTAACTTTTATACTATTAATTTATTTACATGACAACTCACATGGTTGCCATTAAGTTAGAACAAGGGCAAAAAGTTTAAAGAATTGTGTTAACAGTTAACGGACGACGTATAACGATGAAAATAAATGGCTCAAGTGACACCATCCAAATAAGGAGGACATTGAATGGGAAAAGGTCACTAGAGGGGTGACGTTGATTAGTGTTTGGGAGGTAAAGGGATGACGATGAATAAATCCTTAATAGAAGGACGGGCATGAACAAGAAATAAAAGTAGAGGGACAATAATTGACTTTAACTCAAAAAAACAAACTAACATAATCAAAAGTTAAAGGTGAAAACATCTATTTGCATCCTCCATTTATATCATTTTCATGATGAACACTTTCCAAAATTTTTTTTTCTTGTTCACACTTTTCACTTTTCAAAACTCATAAAAAACTTAATATTTTAACGAGTCATCACGGCATCGTTAATAACCATTAAAAAATACAATATGTGGCATTCAAATAATGACATAAGTGTTATGTGCTATTATTTATCTAATGTGGACACTTTTTTGATGATGTGGCATGATGACATGACATAATTTTAATCTAAAAACCTCCCAACCAAAAAAATAAAAAAGATCGAGTCCCACTAGGAACCCAATCGGGTTCCTCACGATGAGGAACCTGACCTGGGTTCCTCACGACGAATCCATTTTGGGTTTCTAAACGCTAGGTTCCTCACGATGAGGAACCCGATTTGGGTTGTTCGACGAGGAACATGATCTGAGTTCCTCACGACGAACCCGATCAGGGTTCCTCGACGAGGAACCCGATCCAAGTTCCTCGTCGAATCCAGTTTGTACCTTTTTTTAGCCTTTCTTTTCTATGATTCTTTCTAGTTTTGATAGAATAATAAGACGATAATTTGATTCTTTGATGGGTTCTTAAATTTTTTTGCAAGTGAATTAATTCTTTGATGGGTTCTTAAATTTTCTTGCAAGTGAAATTAAGAGATTGTTCTTCCATGGAGGCTGGGTTCCACAAGGAACCCAAAAGCGACTCTGGGTTCCTCGTCGAGTAACTCGATGGGTTCCTCACAACGAGGAACCCAGAATTGGGTTCCATCGTGAGGAGCTGGGTTCCTCGTCGAACCCAGTTTATACTTTTTTTGGCCTTTCTTTTTTGTGATTCTTTCTGGTTTTGATAGAATAATGAGATGATGATTTGATTCTTTGATAGGTTCTTAAATTTTCTTGCAAGTGAATTAAAAGATTGTTCTTCCATGGAGGCTGGGTTCCACGAGGAACCCAAAAGCGACAACCTGGATTTGAGTCCCTCCATGCGGTACATGCAGTGGGTTTTACTGTACTTATGGTGTCCACGTGTGTAGAAAATAAATCACATTATCAAAAAAAATATCCACATTAGATTACTAACATCATATAGTGCCACATCAATTTTTGAGTGCTACATAATGCGTTTTTAACAGTGCCGTGATGACTTATTAAAATATTAAATTTTTCACGAGTTTTAAAAAATAGAGAGTGTGAATAAAAAAAAATAAATAAAAATATTAATTACAAAAATGATATAAATGAATTGTGCAAATAGAGATTTTGACCGAAGTTAAAACCTCGATACATGGATTCATGTGTTCGAGTTTTTGTTGGTTCTTTTTGAGTGGTTGTTGTGGAGTGGGTGTAGTCAATGTCATCCTCGTAACAATACTAACATGATTGGAAGTTGAAACCTTTACGTGTGGCTTCATGTATTTGAATTTTTGTTGGTTCCTTGTGACTGGTGTTCCCAATGCATTGAGTCGTGCAACTAACCTTCCAAAAATACTTTTATGATGATATTTATTGGCAGAACTCTTAAGTAAATTAGATATTGTTTATAAGAAAAAAATAAATTAGATATTACTATTAAGAGTGTTTACAATATAAATTAAATCAAATTTTAATATTTT